CTATGTATGTTATATCTGCATAGATACACTTAAAATCGTTCACCCTAACAACTATGGATAAACGCCATAGTGAGTGTAAAGTTATAATGATAATCAGAATGGGTTTTGTGGAGAGTTTTAGAAATTTCACAGGTTGAAATCATGAGTCAGTTGAAGCTAGACCACCATTGAAAACCTGAAAGCACTGGACGGCCGTTTCGTCCTGGTATGGGACTCCTCAGCAGTGCGCATCCACGATCCCGCACCACGCGGGGCTCGAACCCAGGACCTACAAAACAATTAAAGCAATTAGTCCCTTTGATAAATCTCGATAGTGTAATGAGAAGACAAAGATTATCAGAATTTTCTTACACATAGTTCCCTTTATTATCTTAAAGTGAGCAAGAACAAAGATTGATTCAGAGTAATAAATGAATTCATTTGATTTCGTTAGGTTCTCATCAACTGTTTATAACCTAAATTATTTGAAATTCGGCATTATTACAGATATTGACATGCTTATTACATAAGAGGGTGATTAATGGGTGAATAAATGTGTATCATGATGTAGCGAAGATTCCGATAGAGTTGATGAGGGGAAGTTCCAGAACATTCAGATAGTGATTAGAAGTCATGAAAATAGATGAATAGTAATAAAGGAAGATATGAATTGAACTCAATCAGTTATGTATGATGTAATTAAGAAGAGTTTGTTGTAATGACGCAATAAATAATTAAATAGAGAAATAAATGAACTATGTGATTAGGTCAATATATTTCGAACAACAATCTGATGACATATTTCTATCTGAAGAATATAAAGGTCAACTAGACTAGAAATTGAGAGTAAGAGAAGAGAAGGATCATGTGAACACAATTTGAAACCTAATCACTTTGGATAATAATAATAATAATAAGCTAATATTATCAGGATAGATTTATGGGTGACAACAAACTGGGTTTGAATGCTTGTTTATGAACTTTAGTATACGCCATTTTGCACTTTTATACAAAACATTTAACAAACATATCGAAAGCACTACATATTACTGAGTTGTGATCATTTACCATTATCTATGATGTTCTTTTTAGGTACTTAGATTTCATGTACAATGTGTAGTGGAAATATATATATGATTAGTATCACAAGGAGTTTTGTGGATATTATAATAATTCTAATAGTTGAGATCATGAGTCATTTGGAGCTAGACCATCATGGAAAACCTGGAAGCGCTGGATGGTTGTTTCGTCCTAGTGTGTGACTCTTAAACAGTACACATCCACAATCCTGTTCGCGGGATTCGAACCTAGGACCTATCAGTCTTGCGCGCGAATGCTTAACCTGCAGAACACTGAGTCGGCCGGCATCCAGCGGTGTTAATGTGCAACTTCAACTAATCCACAAAATTGAGCGACACATGCACCATTGTATTCAGGGAGTTACTATCACAATGGACCCGGTTGAACACCACTGGTCACTGCTTCCCATTAGAACTCCAGGATATACCTCTTGAAGCCAGTCACTAGTGAACATAGGTTGACTCGTATCAGTAGGGGTAATATATTCTTCCTCTTTAACGTCTCACATCAACTCGGCGCCCAAGTACTATGAAACTATTCGATCAAATTTAGACGAAATTTCTTAATTATGAAGTTGATTTCTTGAAATGTTGACACTTATTCATTAAAGCCGAGTTTAAAGAAATGAAGAATAAGAAGGTTAGCAGCTTTTAACAAGAATTTGAATGTGAGCCATTTACAATTTAACCATTTAGCTCAATAACTCTAATATATATACATTATTGTAAAGTCTCATACTCAAACAAAATGGTCGTCCAATGATTCCAGGTTTTCAATGGTGGTATAGATTAGTTCGACTGGTGATTTCAATTATGAAAACGAAAAATCATTTAAAAAGCTTGAATAGTGTAACAATGAACTTTTAAATTTATTTCTTACATATATGATAGTTCCGTTGTTGTTTTTCTTCACATTACCGACTTTCATTTCCAAGCGAAATACCTTCAATGAAGAATAGGCCGCCGATCAGCATTCTCTAACTCAGTCTGTCACATAATCTTCGTAAAATGAACTATTTCATATTTATCAAGTTCATTCGAAGTCAATCTTGTAACAGATTCCTCTGTTGTAGTGATCGTAACAAATTTTCAGTCAATTAGCATTGATTGAAAAAACAATTAAATGTTTCACTCTTTCATTCCAGTATAAAGTTTTACTGATGAACTATTTTCCTACATACATACATTAAGCTGAAATTCTTTCAACAAACAAACACTCAATCAACCATATTGGTACTAAGAAACCACATCACTTAATTTATTCTAAATGATTCTACAATACAAAATCACACTGATATTACTAATGTGTTTGCTACCTTTGTAATGCACAACAGAGAGGTGTGTGTGTGTGTGTGTGGTACTTTCATTATACCTCCATTAATGAATGAACTTTAGTAAGTAACTCCTATCCTATAAATGTAAAGTGTTAGTTATTTATTATACGACACAGATTTTAGTTACAATCTAATAAGTAATTAAGTAATTCAGTAATGTAATACTGATGTATTTGTGATCATATAAACTAATTTCGATATACACATATATATATATCCATTAATTTAGGGATCAATGAAGCTCCATGATCTGTAATATATTGTCTTAAAGTGTGTTACAGTTAAATGGAAACTTCAAAGTCACATTATGGAGTTCATAGATTTCTCTCATTATCAAATTGTGACATCGAACACTGGTTTCATCTTAGAAGGAATCATCAAACTCTAAAGATAGATTCTTATTATGTAAATACGAATTCCTAAAGTACTTAGCTTTGAATTATCGAATTACAAGTTGCAATCCCTTGATATTTGCTTGACTTTAGGGAAGTTGGTAATATTACTACTCATCACGGAAACATGATGATTCAGAATCAAGTACATAAATTTGTACCAGATCATTAGAAAACAAGACTGATTACAGTGTTTTGTGAAACTATGTAAAACTACCAAAATGTTTCTTCATAATCATTCATGTGAACGACAGTTATGCTGAACAAGATAAACTTTAATGGACTTACAGGTATTACATCGATTCTTTTATCATTTTAAGTAGTTGAAGTCACTATCAATCAAGGAAAACGCATAATGAATTGAGTGTGTATCAATGTAACGTGAATGAATAAATCCCTTTTTAATTGATATCACCGATTGTATTTGGATCATTGTGCAATAAGAAGAGGGAACACTAATCAGCTGTTTCATTTTAGCATAAAACTTATTAGCAGTGTAACCAGATCTCACTCACTTCACTAGTAATAAAATTTAATTCAAAGACGAAATAGCTGCCTAGTGCTTTCTGATTCCCAGTGATTATTTAACCAAGGTCAGTGTGTGTTGTGTAAATTTCAAGTGCCAACAATCTATACAAACCCTTTATATTGAAGAGAATCAGTCCTTTATTAGAACACTGTTTCCTCAAAATCATCAATAATATTTATTAAAATGAACTTGGTTGTTTTGTGGTAATAACAACAACGTGTATGTATTGTAGATAGCAGATATAGTAATCTCATAAACATATAATATACATGAATGACAATGTTTGTATGGTAATACAGTGGTCTATTTGTTTCCTTTGAATTTGTATCTTTTCTTTGAGTAGTCTATACTACTAATCAGTAGTAGAGATAGAATATATGGTATGAACTATATATGGGAAATTATTCATTATTTTACCTGGAATGAGGGAGAGTGGGGGGGGGGGTTGAATTTGATATTTCCCATAGTTCTGATTGGCTTCGTGAAATGTAAAAAACGAAGATGTATAATTCAGTTTAAAAGTCGAGTTTGTGGTGGTCGGTATTCGATATAATCCTTAAACTTCGTATACAGTTCGTCTTGATAACCGTTCTATATAACGTCCCAACGGTATATTAATCAGAAGGTAAATACAAAGTGTTGATTACGTTTATTACGAGACCACACACATATATCCAAATGTACAGATGCGTTAAACAAGCATAGAAGAGTTGTGCCGAAAGGCAAGCAAGCGAGCGAGAGCCATAGCAAGAGCGAGACGAGAGTGTGTGAGTGAGTGTTGAATATGAATAACATGGACATATATATACCATGTGAAATGAATGAGTAATCGAATCAAATAATCAGTTAGTAGTAAGACTAGCAGAGTGAATAAATGCGTAGGCCGTAAGCAATATTCAAGCATACGTATTTCATACAAGCACAAAATAATAAGGGTACAATAAATTGTTATAGTGCGGATGACTTTGTCCGCTAAATAAGTTAGCAAAAAGGGCTTAACTGAGTTAAATGAGAATAAACCCATTTGCACGTGAGTCGCTATAAGTTCACATTTGACTAAATACTTGGTTTACAAAACATTGACAAATACAATCACAATCCGATTTAAGATAATAGGTCTTCAATTTTGACTCGAAGTTCACTCATTCACCCAATTAGCGAAACAGAGTTTTTGGTATTATAGCTGATGTTAGTTCGTGATGAAAACCGTAAATCTGATTCTTGACCCTAACCATCATCTCTGAATCGTAATCTTTATTCTTCAACCTACTTTATAACCTCAGTGAGGAGGTAGACACTCTCAAAGTCAATCTAGTGCCGCTCAAACTTCATCCACAAATTATTGTCTCACCACGATTAGTTCCTATGTGAAAAGATTTGATTTATTATTTACATTATGGTTTTCTCTATTGTATCAGTTAAATAATTAACATTAAAACGTGACCCTGGTTTAACTTCTTATCTGAACTATGAATTGAAACCTTTGTAACTTTCAACTTCTAAAAGTTGTCTTCGAATAGTATTTCTTGTGTTTACAAACAGCTCGATGATGACACTATGACCATGATAAGGTCACAAAAATTCTTTTAACCTCGACCACATTGCTTCTATATTGTCGAGATATCAACGTGTACGATAAATTTTAAAAGCATCACAACCGTTTTTTTTTCTTTCCTTCCTGCTTCAGTTCACTCAGGAATGTGGCTGCCAATCGCCTTCTGTAGACCGTAAAGCTAGTTTGGAATGTCTTCGAAAGTTGGATCCATTAACACTTGTTAATCAACTGGATAGCATAAATGTAGCTATTGGTAAACGTCGTTATGATACTGTTAAAAAATATCTACGACCCAAAAATCATCAACATGAACCATTCCTATTAAGTCAGTCTACAAGTACTCGATTGTATTTCGATGTTCCATTGCAACCAGTTATTGATGGTCATCTTATGCCGAAACATCCTGATCAAATTTTTCATGACAAAAATACATTAAAAGATAAACCAGAATTATTGATTGGTGTTAACACCAACGAGGCAATGTTTTTCCTCCTCCCAGGTATTTCAATAAAAGATACGCAATTCCTATTCCCAAATGGTTCAGTTATTATGCCTGACACTATAGGATTGGCTGGTAAGAAACAACCATTTAAACAAGGAGAAGAAATAGCCGATTTCTATTGGATCACAGCCACACAGATAATAGAAGAATCTCATATGAGACCTGGTCTAGCAAAATTACCATCATATTATTATAATTTACCACTCATTTCCAGTCCAAAACAAGGTTACTACGATCCGGATACCATACACATCAAAGATGAAGAACTTCTCAGACGATTAGATAAATTTGCCGGTGATTTAGACTTTGCTTGTCCAACTTTAAATTTTGCTGAACAAGTTGCTAGATTACCAGATGCTAAAGTATTCCTATATCATTTTAATAAACGTACTGAATCACTTCCTATGCCTACATGGACAGGTGTTATGCATGGCTATGAAATTGAATATATTTTTGGTATACCACATGATCCGAAATTTTCAAAACAATTTTATAGTTTTACAGATCCTGAAAAGAAATTCAGTTCCAGAATGATGGAAATGTGGACTAATTTTGCTAAAACCGGGTAAGCCAACTATGATGTATCACGTAGTTGTAGTGTACTTAGTTCATTATCAATGATCAGCCTAATGTCTTCCTATACAACACTAAGCATACAAATAATCCCAGACTCTAAAATTGTTTCCTCTCGAATAATTTACGCGGTAGATTTACATTTGAATGTTGCCGATATATTAATGTTTCACAGTAATGCATTTTATATTATTAATTACTTACTTACTTACGCCTGTTACTCCCAATGGAGCATAGGCCGCCGACCAGCATTCTCCAACCCACTCTATCCTGGGCCTTCTTTTCTAGTTCCATCCAATTCTTGTTCATTTTTCTCATGTCTATTTCCATTTCTCGGCGTAATGTGTTCTTTGGTCTTCCTCTTTTCCTTTGACCCTCAGGATTCCATGTGAGGGCTTGTCTTGTGACACAGTTGGGTGCTTTCCTCAATGTGTGTCCTATCCACTTCCAGCGCTTCTTCCTGATTTCTTCCTCCACTGGGATATGGTTTGTTCTCTCCCACAGTACGTTGTTGCTAATATTGTCCGGCCAATGGATCTGAAGTATTTTGCGTAGACAATTCTTAATAAACACCTGTATTTTCTGGATGATGGCTTTTGTAGTTCTCCAGGTTTCTGCCCCATACAGTAGAACTGTCTTGACATTTGTATTGAAAATCCTGACCTTGGTGTTGGTTGACAGTTGCTTTGAGTTCATAAAATAACAATGCAAATGATGATCCTAGGAATCGTTTTCTTGACCAGGAGTCATGGATACCAATTCATGCTGTCTGAATCACTTCGACAGTCTGTAAATATAGATGAAAAGTTGTAAATATGGTTGTTCTACAAGAAGAGATTCCAATCCAGTTTAACTTGTCACGTTATTTTGTAGGGTGAAGTGTATATGTTGACAGTTCACTTTGGTTTATGAGCGTTTCAACCGCTGACTGGACAATATGGCATCACTCATGTGCTAACTGTAGTTGTTTGCTGAGACGAAAATACAATGTCTAGACATTTGGTTTGTTCACCATATGTGCATATCCTAAGATTTTTCATCAATCTAGACTTCTATCACAATTCTGAGAAGTATATATACAGTCAACAAATATTTTGTACATGATACCTATCGTCCGTCTGTAGCACTTCTAGGGATACTGCCGATCCCAAGTCCGGGTAAAGAAAGAGTGTTTAGCGTGTGGTCATCAACCTCATCCGGTAAAAAACAGCCTCGCTAAAAACCCCAACCAGAATAAACAAATCAAACTATTAAACCTCTTTCCCCTGAGTTTAAGGATTTTCTATCAGAACAATTATGACATCTCGTAATCAAAGCCGAGATCTCCACAGTCACGAGGCTGATGTCTCTTCTAACTACCACAACAAAATAGCATAGCATAAAATCGTATGCTTCTTCAACAATTTTGGTGATAATCTTGTAAAATTAAGACATGATGAACACATTTTTAAAAACAAAGTGATATTATTTTACTCTGTAATCTTGTTTTTAACTCCATTAATTGTTTACGCATATCTGAAATTCTTTTGTTTGACTTTGTTTTCGTTTTTAGACATCCATCTAAAAGTGATGATGGTCACGTGTCTATACCAGAATGGCCTTTGTTTCGTCGTACTGATGGATTTATATCAAGCGACCCTGATCATTTGATTCTAGAAAATGAGACTAAACTCGGCAGTGGATTACACCGTGATCGTTGTGCGTTTTGGTTACATGAAATGAAAGACATGACAGATATATTAAACGATACATGTGAATGTTCTAGTGGTGAGTTATGTTTTATAGTCTTTCTCTGTAAAGTACAGCGTTCCGCTGATGGCCAGAGATAATCTGACGTTTGGAATGAAGAGTAGTGAATTTGAGTTGCAATAGATGCATCAACACTCGCTGAAATGCACGTTGTTGGAGAGGTCACTTTCTGGTTTAAACTCGATTATCATTTAATGGGTTAAGCAGTCCTAATACTGTTTCAGCATTTTTATTTATTTTTGCTAGCTCTAAAAGCACAGTTTCTAGACGTGTACTTGATTGCTGGATTACATTGAAACTTCACTTTTTAGTCCTTCAATGAATAATTGAAACTTGATTATTTTCACCATGGGGTTACGAATAGATCAATATACTTTCTTTTTAAATACATTTCTCATTATTAAATTATAATACTGATGAAAACTTTCTTCTAACCTCTTATTTGAATGAGACGTTTCAAGCATGGTGAAATCAGTCCACGTCCTGTCTAACAAAATATAAATTATTTCCACTATTAACGAAGATGGATAGTAGCTGACAGTGGAAAACAGGACTCACGCTTCGTCCAATTTGGGACTCGTCAGCTGGATGCACCTGCACCTCGGAGTTGATGTTCACTCTGAGACTCGAATCCAGTACCGTTCGCTTCAAACGTCATCGAGGCAATACGCACAATATGTGCATATGCCTACAAGAGACTTATCAATTGCAGTGCAAAACATCAATGGGGGAGATTCAAGTAAACAATACTAATTGGATTTAAACTTCACCTCATTGTACAAGCAACTGGATATCTGGACTCAGTAGCTAGGTGTATAACCTCATGTGTTTGAAGCGAACGGTACTTAGTTTGACTTCCAGAGTGAACATCAACTCTGAGATGTAGTTACAGCCAATTTACGAGTCCCAAATAGGACGAAACGCACATCAAACTTGATTCCATGGCTAGGCACTATCCATTTTTGCTTAGAAATGAAAACATACTTCAAAATATTTTATTCCAATACAGAAAACAAATCAATTGTTTAATGATGGTGTATCACAGGAATGTGCTCAAAGTAATCACGATAAATTTGTCACCAATTCTTAAACAGTCTGTGTAAAAGGACAGTTTTATTAAAGTGATAGCAACAACACGTTTACTCCGTGGTAACAAAAAGCATATTCTAATGATTATTTTGGAAGTCTCAAGTAGTATGCAAATATATTTCTAATGACTCTAATGAACTAAGATAACAAATCTAGTTCCGAGTGAAATTGAATAAATAATTGGGATACTTTGTAATAATTGAGGAATATTCTAGAGGTTAAACGTTCGCATGTGAGACTGACAGGTCCTGGGTTCGAATCTCGAGAGGTGCGATCTTGGTTGCGCACTGTTGAGGAGTCCCACAATAGAACGTATATATATGTTAAACTCTTCAGGTCGTAAACATTAGTTTTGACATCTTTATTATGCAATTGAAAGTTTAATGGGTCGTGTTTTCATGATGCTAATGAAGCCTATCTACATCAACATTCCTATGATTTAAGGATAATGCTTCTGAGAAACATAAATATTCCCTGGAAATGTGTACTTGGTGTTATGAACTAGTGTAGAAATATAATTTACCGTAAATCAACTACTTAAAATCGAGACATAGCTCGAGTCATTTAGATTGATGTCTGCATTGTAACCTGACAAATAGAATTCGATCAGTGTTAACGGATTAAACAAACATGACATTGTTATTAGAATGGGAGGTTTGTGGAGATTGTACTAATTTTTAGTAATTGAATGCTAGATCACTACTGAATAACTGGAAACACTGTACAGCCGTTTCGTTCTAGTATAGGACTGCTCAGCAGTGCGCATTCATGATCCCGCGTATGGGACTTGAACCCACAATCTTCGGTCTCGTACACAAACGCTTAACCTTAAGTTACACATTAAAATTGTTGGATGCCGATTCAGTAGTCTACAGGTTGTCATTTCTAACGTTTCATTTAGTACTTTTCATTTTCATTTCTCGTATTCAGATTTCCACTTGAAGGCGAATTTTCTTTTTCTTTAATTTTCATCTTTTTCATTTTCTCCATCTGTCCCTGTTTTTGTATGTTGATATAAGTTATACTGACATTGATTCCAAGTTCTATATCGACAATAATGACTAAATGATAATAAACATTCTCACTATTAACAAACATTTACAATCTGAGTAGTTTTTAACTTTGAAGAAAGTACACATTTATGACTGAAACAGTAAAATACATTCGCTCAGTATAGATACACACTACCAATGTAGTATAGGTCGCCGACCAGCATTCTCCAACCCACTCTGTCCTGGGCCTTCCTTCCCAGTCCTATCCAACTTTTGTTCATTTTCCTCATGTCTGTCTCCATTTCTCGTCGTACACATATAGATAACATATGATTTTCAGATGATGAAGAAGATTTATACTTCAGATGAATGATTTTGATAGTGTTTTGTTCTCTGAACTGGATGGTTTGATCGTAGAGTTATCATCGTCCTTCATACTACATATGAAGAAATTCAAACACTTCACTTCTACCTGAAGTTTGTACTGATGATATCGTTCAGAAAAATATTGAAATCTCCACGATCAAACTATCCAGATCAGAGAACAAAACTCCATCAAAAGAATAGACAACAACAACAACAGTTTGTCATGTAAATACAACGTATCATTTAATGCTCATTTTCCATGAATAAACTTTTTCTTTCTCTTTTTGTTTTGTTTTCAAGGAATAAAACCAACTGGAAGTTATCGATTCATCATTGGATTATGGTTACTTATTTTCATTGGATATTTATAGAGTAGTTTTTATATTGATGAAAATGTTTCTTTTTTTCTTTTTCTTGTTGTTCTTCTTGTTGTTGTTGTTGTTGTTGTGGGAGACAGTTTGCAACGACAATGAACAGAAGAGATTGTTTTAAATTTATTCGAATTAGTGGAATTAAAATTGAATTGGTGATAGTTGAGCAACTTCTTCTTTTTCATCTTCTTCCTCTTCTTCTTCTTCTTCTTCTTCTTTTACCGAATTTGACATATATATTCATAGATGAATAGATAGATAGATAGATAGATCTCTTCATTCATGGTAATTCAAATAAGCATCTCAGTTTATTCAATAGAGTTTTGTTTGTTGATTGGTTAGTTCTACACTTTCACTATAGCGGAGTTCATTGTATACACGTTCATATTACATCTAGTGTATTGTTTACATTTCTCATGATCAATATTGTAAAGTTAATTCATAAAAATGTTCCATTGTTCCATAGATATTTACCTCTGTTAATTTCTCTGTTGTTGTTTTTTTTGTTTGTTTGCATAAATCTATACTTTGTATAAAAACAAACAAACAAACAAACAATCGATAAAACTCTTACGCTTATTTACTTACTTATATATCTGTTACCTTTCGTGGGGGTGGGGAGAGAGTACAGTTTGCCCAGCAACTAACACATCATATACATTTTATATATTGTGTAGTAACTAGTTCAATTTTTATAAAAATGATTTCACAGATTTAGAATGTAAAAAACAAATCAGTATTATTTTAATGTTTTTTCCCCCTTTCAAATTACCATTAACCGACTAAATTGATTTTATATTTAAATATTGTAGACTTTTTAACATAAAGTTAAAGCTTATTCAGTGTCTGGTTCTCCTGTGATGCAGGATTCAGCTATACTAGTTGAGTTGTCATGTGAAAGTCTGTATGATGCCTGGTTCTTTTGAAAACCAATGTAAAATTACCCTGACCCATAAGGGTATATTATATAACTAGACATTTGAACTAATTTGTTGTGTTTTTTTTTTGTGTGTGCTCAGTTTTGTTGTTTTGTTGCTTGTTTTATTCACGACTAATAACTAACTACTAACACATGGTAACAATGAATATTGTTCATTCTATTCTTGTTCAATGAAATAAAATAAGAAGTTTATTAATTAATTCACTTATTGTTTGTTTGTTTTTTCTTTATAAGAAGGATCTTTAGTAATATGAGTTACATTAATATGTATGTTCATCTATACACTAATAGTTAATTCACTTGGTATTGTTTGATTGTATCTTCTCAGTAGTTAAGTGGATAATGCGATGGGGTTCGTAACGTATGGTATTGGGTTCGAATCTTGGTACGGCCCTGATACGTCAGAGGGTAGGGAGAGTCAGCTTTCCCACATAGAATACTCTCACATTGCCACGTGCCTACAACCACTATCAGGGAAGTCTTACTCACTACCTTCTCGCGGCAATACTGTTGTTTACGAAATTGAGAGGACGAAAAGTGAATATACGCTGGTTGACACGGAAAGTTCAACTAGGGGAGTTGGAAAACCCTGATTCCAAACAAATGGCGTATGAACCAATTATTGGTAGCCGGCTACTATAATGAAATAAAAGAAGTCATCCCTAAGTGTTTGAAACTGTTGTAACTAATTTCAATCTCATATACTTAACAGAACTTCTGTGATGGGGTACGGCAATTGTTGGATTCTCTGTGATTGGAATGTAATTCCTCATTCTTTCAATCATGTTATATTTATCTTATGTTCTGCAAGAACTTAAATTAAATACCGGCTTCATAATTAAGATATGAATAAATCACAATGTTACGAATCTTAATAGTTCACATTCTTCCAAATGGTATCTTTCAGATGTGTGCTTGATACCTAGTGAGAGAATAACATCATATATCATTAACTGTTGCAAAATCTCCTATCATTTTTATGTAAATCATGTCTTTAAAGTTTCTTGCTTCTATGATACCATGACATGACAACTGTTATATGTAAAGAAAGCTATTTGTATATAGTTTAGGTGCTTAAAACTCAGCATACTCCGTCTAGGTCTTTTGAAAACGGTAACTCATAAGGTAGATGTGCGTATATCTGTTCTGAAAAAGAAAGAATTCTTTATGGTGTACAATTCAGAGAATGCTGGTGAGCGGCCTATGCTCCTTCACGAGGAATAACAGGCGTAAGTAAGTAAGTAAGTACAATTCAGAAATTTTAGTCATGTAAGAAAACATGAACTGTAAATTGGGTTCAGGTTGTACCTTATAATGAATTGAGTCGATAAAGTCTTGAAACATATTACCCTGATAAAGTTGTTTATCGTACTACTGATATGGTTTCAGGTTTCATCCATTTGTTAATAGTTGCAAAAATGTCACTTTCAAATTAAAGAGCATACAAATATATGAATGTTACAACGGCAACTCAGTGGTTAAAGCATTTAGCATTTAATCAATGTCATTTGATTCATAAACTCTCCACCTTGTTTGGTCTCACAAGTTATGTAATATCACAAGCGATATGCTTCAAACCGAGTACATAATCCATTGCTTTATAAACAAGATATTGTACTATACAGCTGTATTTGAATGATGAATTAGTCAGTCAGTCAGTCAGTCATAAGCAACACAGAACCTGTCTCATAAGTATGCTTGTTCAAATTGCTATACCCCATCACCACAGCTAGATGAAATGTCAGGGCAAATCTCAGAGTAGTAGAGGTAGTAACAGTGTAGTGTCGGTCGCAATGTTAACACCACATAGCTTATTCTAGCTTCCGAACAGGCCAATCTATTCGTTCATCTCGAGTCACTTTTTTTATCAATTTCGAATATGTATATTTCATACAATCATTGATCTCAGAGTAGTGAAGGTAGTAATAGTATTAATGGTAATGGAATAAATTAGACATCCAAGATATAATTTGAGAGGAAAATACAGGTTGGGGAAATAATAAAAAGTAGTTTATGAGAAATTCAGAAACTATGGATCTAGTCGAAGAAGAAGAAGATGATGATGATGATGAATGAATGCACCTGATTCGTTGAGAAAGATTCTGAATCACGTTACTCTATATCTCTAACCATTAGTCATGATACCCACGCGGATTACAACCAGGTTGTTTTCACTTATTATTATAAGTATCTGTTACCTGCTGATATCAGGTCAATTGAAAACAGAAAGGACTGTTTACATGTAGAGTCAAATTTAATTCAAAGATAAATCTTAACTTGTCCTTCTGTATTCAGTTTTGTAGTACCAAAATCTAGGATCTAACAGTTTTTAATATCAATCATATCTTTACCTACCCTGTTGTATGATGTTCGTGAACATTAATTCATTGAATATTGGCTAACGTCACTGTCTATTTAAAACAACTGAACCTTGAAGTGTAGAAAAGCCGACAAATTATATGATACATCTTATAGTCTCTATCTCAATGACAGATGTGTAATCTTCCCCAAATGAAATTTATTTCAACAATTCTGTGTGACTTGTAAACGTCAACTTAAAACTATGTAAAACGTAACGAATGTATTTGAAGTTCATTTATTCACTAATACTAGTCCAGTAGGTTAAGCGAGACTGAAGGCCCTAGGTTCGAATCTCGCGAGCGGGATCGTGGATGTGCACCGCTGAGGAGTCCCACAATAGGAAGAAACGGCCGTCCAGTGCTTCCAGGTTTTCACTGTTGGTCCGACATCAATCGGTTCATGATCTCAGTCATAAACACAAATATTTTTCAAATCTCTGTTAAAAATGTATGACTTACTTACTTACGCCTGTTCATCCCGATGGAGCATAGGCCAACGACCAGCATTCTACAACACATTCTGTACTCGACATTCCTTTCCACTTCTACTCAATTCTTGTTTATTCTTCTCATATCTATCTCCATTTCTCAAACTAATGTGTTCTTCGGTCTTCCTCGTCTACTCATTTCGCCTTGACGATTCCATGTGAGGGCATGTATTATGTTGCAGTTCGGTGCTCTCCTCAATGTGCGTCCTATCCACTTCCATCACTTCTTCCTGATCACTTTCTCCGCTGAGATCGGGTTTGTTCTCTCCTATAGTAGGTTGTTTCTGATAGTGTCTGACCAACGAATCCAAAGTATTTTGCATAGACAACTGTTAATAAACACTTGTTTGTTCTGGATGATGGTTGTGGTAATTCTCCATGTTTCCGTCGCATACAGTAGAAGTGTATTGACATTTGTATTGAAAATTGTGACTTTGGTGTTGGATTGTGGACAGTTGTTTTGAGTTTCAGTTGTTCTTCAAGTGTAAATATACTGCTCTTGCTTTACCGATTCGCGCCTTCACAAGTGCATCAGATCCACCATGTTTATCAATGATGCTACCCAAATATGTAAAGGTTTTTACATCTTCCAAATCTCCTCCATCCACTGTGATTTGATTGGTGCATGTTATGTTGTATCGGATAATCTTTGTTTTCCATTTGTGTATATTGAGACGTACTGCTGTTGAGGCTGCCGCCACACTGATCCTCTTCTCCTGGATTTGTTGTTGCGCGTGAGATAAAAGAGCCAGATCATCTGCAAAGTCTAGATCGTTCAGCTACATCCTAGATGTCCACTGTATCCCATAAAACTGTATGAAAGAATCAAATCTATGCAATACATACTTTAATCTTAAGTTTTGTCATATTCAATAATAATGATAACATGAATAGAGATCCTTCTATGAATAAACGTCTTTTATAGGATGACAAACAATCTAAGATTATTGAAAGTATGTTGTTCACATACCATACTAATGGACTACTTTTAATTGTAGTAGTTTATCATCTAGACTTTATCCATTTTGTTTTTGTTTCTGAAAGTGAACTATGTCATGAGCTTTTAATTTAGCAGTGAACTAACTATTAGAAAAACATTTTTATATTTTGTTAGTGTTCTAAGAAGATGGAGGTTATGAGAACTATGTGGTAGGAATGATGACATTGATGATGAGATTAAGTTACTAAATAAAATATTAATAGAAAGTGATTAACCTCATAAATTCATAAATAGATGGATAGTTTATTGTACACAGTGCGATCTACTATAGCTTTGGCAGATATAAAGCTTGTCTATATCATCTTATCATTTAGAGGTGATTGAAATAACCATTTATTGAAACAAAGGCTTCAATCAATCATTAACAAGATATATTACACAGAAAAGGTCATTATCAAGGAAACAATAAGGTTTGTGCTTCATCGAAAA